AGAGAGACAGAGAGAGACAGAGAGAGACAGAGAGAGACAGAGAGAGAGAGAGAGAGACAGAGAGAGAGACAGAGAGAGAGAGACAGAAGCACTTTAAAAACACCGGGCCGGTTTCTCTCAGCTGAGCTTTGGCATTTAAGAGCCGGCGTCCCTGACATTGTGACCAGTGAAGCACAAACACGGACGACTCAGAGGGAAATGGAGCTAAATGTTGAATACCTGCTGGACTCTGCAGCCACTGAACCTCGACACCGACCCCGGCTGTGTTAGACAGAGATCTCCATGAATATTAAACCGCTGCAGCTTCACCCTCGGCACGAACTGGAAAACAAACGCACCTCCTTTCTGTTTCTGTCAGACTCAACGTCTAAACAAGGGTGAACTTAGAGAGCTTCCCCTGGCATTTACCTTTGAGGCTCCAGACTAATGAAGTTGACATTTCTGACTAAGTAGCATTGTTTGAAACCAACAGTAAGTGGTTCAAGATGTCAGAGCTATTTCAGCAGAAAAAGCCATTTCTTTGACTCTGGAAAAGCTATTATGACAAATAACGCTTGTAAATTGAGAGCTGTTTTGCTTCAAGATGAGACCACTTCAGATGCAATTGCAGGAGAAAATATAGTTGAAGAGGTGATTGATAGATGTCTCAGCCTGTAACAGAACATAGAAAGGGATTAAGCTCTCTTAAATCTACTGTGGCAGAAGATAACAGTGTGGACTGACCTATTACTGGGCCAAAATGAGACCCCATTACTTCCTCAGGTGAAAAAAAGAAAAGAAGTGTAATGCAGAACTTCACTGACAAGAGCAGGTTTTTAATCTCAATAAAATATCCTCCCATTAAATGAATGTGTAATAGCTTCTTGTACCTGATGAGGATTTAAAGGGAGAGAAAGAGTCAAACCTCTCCTACTCTATTCATCCACAAGTGTCTTCTGTCATTCGGGGTGAATAAACTGAGAATCTGACGGCAGTAAAAAGTCAGTAAAAAAATCTTCGGAGTCCCGGGGCCTTGGCGCTGTCGAGCCCGATTAATCACGACTGACGTGATGGGTAGACTTGTACTTGGCACAGGAGAGCCAGAGAGGGAGGCCACAGCTCATGCACCTGCATTGTCCACTTCTTTACTGTTTCGCTGAATAACAAAGTGCCCACAGAGTCCACGACGGAGCCGGAGACCCTGAATACCGATGAGCTCCATCCATCACCTCCACAAACAGCAGTGAACAGAAGGTCCTGCACTTCAGAGCTCCGTAAGCCCCACAGACCCAGAGTTCAGTGCTACTCAGTGTGAGCCGACTCGTTCAGCCATTCAGAGCATGTAGCAGTAAGCAGGATAATGAGGCTCCGGCGAACGCTTGTTTTTGCTGCAGAGCACCAACAACCAGCAGAAAACATCAATGTTCATATTACTAATCCGCTCAACTTCTACCTCCAGTTAGACCCGAAGAGACCGCACTGAAAATCTACTTGGGACTTTGAGATGGCACAGTAATATTTATCACTAATGCAGTTTTGTGGTACAAAGATAATCTGATGATGCTGAAGACTTGAGGATGTCTTGGTGACACCAGCCTCCTCAGTTTGCATGAGCATGTTACTACAGCACTGAATGCATTATTAACGGTTGTAAGTAGTTTTCTTGTTCACGTAGCATTAAGTTTCTGCCTTCATTCTCAAGTAGAAATAACTTCACTTGATGTTCAGCTCTTTGCTGGAATAATACTAATGTATCACAATGTGATCACAATGAACCTTTACCAGGAGTGGGGTTTGAACCCACGAAGGCTTTTGCCCATTGGATCTTAAGTCCAACGCCTTAACCACTCGGCCATCCTGATAATTTCGGCAGCATCTATACCATCATTATCATTGTCATTATCATTGAACTGCAAGTCAATATTTCAATCAAATAATGAGTTGTCTGGGAACTTAATTTTCGTAACTTTCACTTTAACAATCATTCACAGAATAAACAATATACCACGTTCACGTCTGTACGGGAGGCCTACATTTAAAGCTGCAGTCGGAAGCAGGTTAGCTTAGCTACAAAACAAAGCAAAACAAAACCCACCAAGAAGAAATGCTTGAGTTTAATAATGAATACGTTATGTCTCATTTGTGTAAAACCGATCTGTTGTGGTTGTTTCCATACTTTAGGATTTCATGCTTTAATTAAATGAGCATGTTAAGCAGTGAGAAAGGAGCCTCCTCAGTTTGAATGAGCATGTTCCCACGGCACTGAATGAAGTCGAGTCAGGCAAGCCTGGGTGAGCTGGAACACTAATCACAGTGAGAGAAAATCAAATATCACAACATTTTTTACCAAATCCTTCAATATTGATATTGCAATGATGTTGTAGGCTTGACCATTGGCGGTTTCACGAAATATTTAGACGCAACTTCTTGTTGGCGACCCTGTTGATGTAGCACAGTGTCAACAAGTTCTCAACAGTTACAGTGGAGCAGTCGGTGGCAATGACATTCGTGATCTCAGGCTCCCTTTAACTTCTAAACAGGAAACGTATGAAAAACAAATCACCAAAATCATCAAAAATAGGAATAAAATATATATAAAATAGAATACTGTGGTGGAATAGTGTGCAGTAGTGGTTAAATGAATAAACAAGATAAAATTAATATATATATATATATTTTAATTAATTTAATGCACACACCGTGTTGGATTTATATTCTGGCCGTGACAGATAGAACAAGCTGATTAAAACTGCTGAATTATTCAACAGGAGCCAGTATCGGTTCTCAAGCTGCCTGTGGCCCGCCTTAATTGATTAATTGAAATGCAGAGCAGCGTACCGTGCTAACTAATACCCCGAAGGTAAGGACATGGCAGGAGCTCTCCTCTCCTCGTTTAATTAGCATTGCTTTGACACATAATTAATAGCACAGAATGAGAGAATCCGATCAGGCTTCACACCAGCATATGGCACCTTCCATCTACAGCCATGCTGCAACTGCAAAGACCTCGCCCAGCCATTTAATGCACTTCATTCTACATATATAAACTGACACGGGGGGAATAATTTTACTTATTTTAGGATAATATAAACATAAATTAAGTCAACCTATCCGGAGATTGTTTACGCTTATGCTTGAAACAGACATTAATAGAAACAAAACAACGGCAATCACATTTAAAGGTCTTATTTATTATGTGCACAAAATAAACTAATCAGTAGAAATGGCAATTTATAAAACACAGCTGAGGTTTGAACAATAATAATTGCATTATAGGATCTATCCGTGAATGAAACGCACAGGAAACGGCCTCTCCTAATAGTCAGAAAACAAGCTAAAAGATAATATTTCAAATTGAATGCTTAACAAAACGTGACAGATTAATGCACGAAGAAGCATCTGAATAGGCTACGAGACATTTACATATTAATAAGACCTCTATTGAGGAAAAATAGTAAGAAAGGGAGTCCATGCTAATGAATGAAGAGAGAGGTCGCTGAAAGAGGATATGACTACAACGGTGACACATAGCATGTATCTGGAAATACATTTTAAGACTAAACCGACAAACACGAGTCACACCACACATACATTCTGTAGTTGCTATCCCAACCTGAAATACACCTTTTTGTATTTAGAGATCTATGAAATCCTGGCAGGACTTGCTGAACTAATTTGCATTTCAGCTGGAAAGTCAAAGAAATGAAATAGAGAAATAACACAAGAGCAATGGGTAGCACTATTCAGCCCTGTCTCTTGAAGATTACACTCCCTTAAAACAACACTTTCTTGTGAATTAAGTATTGAGGGAAACTTTTTTCCGTCCTGGAATACATTTGCTTTTGTTGTATCACAAATATGTTTCTATTAAGTCTGCAGTGGTCCGCATAGGGAGAAAGTCTGGGGGGTGGAT